GTTCACTCTGTTCACATTTGATTTCGAATTTCAAAATATTCGAAATTTTTCAATGCATCCCATATGCCTGCCTATCTGCCCCTTCCCCCACCTTTTTATTTTTTTTTATTTTTTTTTTTTCCCTTCTCACCCCCCCCCCCCCTTTTTTTTTTTTTCCTTTTCCGGCTTCCCAGGGCTGGTACTTCAAGCTTTGGTTATATCAGAAGAGAATTGTCTCCTCACGGGTGGCAGATAATCATGTCATTTCAGATACCCTGTTCAGCATCTAAAGATGTTACAATCAACTCATCCGTGACGGTCGCACGAAATGGTAAAACCTGCAGTATTGTGCGAGCGGCCTTCACGGGTTATAATCTCTCTCTCTCTCTCTCTCTCTCTCTCTCTCTCTCTCTCTCTCTCTCTCTCTCTCTCTCTCTCTCTCTCTCTCTATCGCTTGCTCTCTCTCTCGCTCTTGCTCTTTCTCTCTCTCTCACGCTCTCTCTCTCTCTCGCTCACTTGCTTTTTCTCTCTTGCTCTCTCTCTCTCTCGCTTGCTCTCTCTCTCTCTCTCTCTCTCTCTCTCTCTCTCTCTCTCTCTCTCTTCTTCTTCTTCTTCTTCTTCTTCTTCCTCTTCTTCTTCTTCTTCTTTCCTTCGCCTGAAATAAGTTGTCTATATCAGCAATTTTGTCTCTTGTATAAATTTCACTGTTGTTAATTCAATCAATGGTCCATAGAGTTTACGTTCCACTGTTGTTCTTTCTGGCCAAAAGGTTTCCCTTAATGTGTCAAATTCGGTGCAGTCCTGGAGTACATGCTCTGCTGTCTGGGGCACCTTTCCACAGGTGCACATGGCTGATTCGCCTATATTGAATTTTGTGTTCATGTGGTAATGTAATCGGTTGTGCCCTGTTCTGAGGCGGAGGATAATGACTTGTTCTGGTCTGTCCATAATCAAATAGTCGTCTTGTGCTGGGGCTGGTGGTTTCCTGATTGATTTAATGATTCTTTTCTTTTCGTGGTATGTGACTGGTACATCCGGCTGCACTTTTGTTGCACCTTCTCCTGCCGGTTGATCAGCTTTCTAATTTCCAGGCACTCCACAGTGTGATGGTATCCACTGCATTACAACTCTTTGCTGAAGGCTAAGATGTGTCAGCAGTGTTTGCAATTCTGGTAGCAACATTTGTCATCGATCAACATCTGTCATATAGCAACATTTGTTATACAGCAACATTTATTATATAGCAACATTTGTGATCGATCATAATCTGTCATATAGCAACATTTGTCATATAGCAACATTTGTCATAAATCAACATTTGTTATAGATCAACATTTGTCATAAATCAACAGTTGTCATTGATCAACATCTGTCATATAGCAACATCTGTCATATAGCAACATTTGTCATATATCAACATTTGTCATACAGCAACATATGTCTTATAGCAACATTTGTCACAAATCAACATTTGTTATAGATCAACATTTGTCATCGATCAACATCTGTTATAGAGCAACATTTATCATATAGCAACATTTGTCATAAATCAACATTTGTCATAAATCAACATTTGTCATAAAACAACATTTGTCATAGAGCAACATTTGTCTTAGAGGAACATTTGTCATAGATCAACATGTGTCATAGATCAACATTTGTCATAATCAAAATTTGTCATAGATCAAAATTTGCCATAGATCAAAATTTGTCATAGATCAACATTTGTCATTGATCAACATTTGTCATAGATCAACGTTCGTCATAGATCAACATTTGCCATAGATCAACATTTGTCATCTTGTGTGGCTGAAATATTCGCAAGATTCACTTCAGACACACACATACAGGTGTGCGTGTGTGTGTTTGTGTGTGTATGTGTGTTTGTGTGAATCTATCTGTTAGTTTTTCCTATTATATATATAGGCGTGTGCGCGAGTATAAGTATGTGTGTGTGTGTGTGTGTGTGTGGGTGTGGGTGTGGGTGTGTGTGTGCGTGCGTGCGTGCGTGTGTGTGTGTGTGTGTGTGTGTGTGTGTAAAAGACTACTTGACTAACATTCATATCTATTTCTATTAATCTTACGTTTCACGCTCGTCTGTCTGCCCCTACTGTTATTCTGTCTGTTTGCGTATCCATGTGTCGAAGTTTTTCTCTGTCTGTATTATCTCTCTTTCAGTAAAGAGAAGGCACACAGTACGTTCTCTACACGTGCGATGGATGTCTTGACACCAACACCCTGGCCTGCCGGATAACGTCCCCTTGGGAACAACAGGTGGATTATCGGCCTTAGACAAAGCATCATCAAATCACTTTTCAAGAGCATCAAATATGAACAATGAAATCTGTAACGAAGTTTTCGAATGTGGAATGACTAAACTAGTCTAGGTGTAAAGATTATATGATATTAAAGCATCCTACATTAATTTAGTATATGTGTGCACATCTTGCAGTTCAGGCTGTTGCGTCATAAATGCGTATACAGTTCCTCTACTTTTATCAGAAACAAGAAACTGTCCGGCTATTGTTCTCCTGAAGAAGGACATGCTACAAAGTAATGTGCAGGCAAACAACGACGGTGTACACGACTTTGATGTTGCCAGTAGCAGCAGTGTTTGTTAGTGAGTGAGTGAGTGTGGGAGCGAAAGGGTGGGTTAAACCTCTATAAGTACTCATGGCCGCTTTTTTATTATCTAACCCTTGGGTAGGGGATGTAAAGCTAACCACTAAGTGTTGGAGGGGGGAGGGGGAAACCTCGCAGTGGCTGAAGGGTTGGTTTAACGATAGACTACCTCGCTATCCTATTCTCTACGTTAGTCTGTTTTACTGAGCTAGCGGGAAGAGAAAAGGGAACAAACAAGGAAACAGACGAGAACACAAGAATGAATGAAGAATGGGAAGGCTCTAGATGAAGACCAAACTAGTGTTGACATATTAAAGGCAGACCCACAGGTTACAGCAAAAACATTTCATGGAATTGTCAACAAAATGTGGATAAATGAAGTCGTACCAACAGACTGGAAAAATGTTTTAGTCATCCCAGTACAGAAAAAAAGGTGATCTCTCACACTGCAACAACTGGAGAGGCATAACATAATTATATGTACCTGGAGATGTACTCTCTAGGGTGATATACAACAGAATTAAGATGTCAATAGACAGAATGTTGTCAGAAAATCTGGCAGGATTCAGAAAAAGGAAGAAATTGCTGTGATCATATTTTCACTCTCAGAAATATTGTGGAACAAGCTTTAGAATGGAATGCCACATTATATATAAACTTTGTAGACTTAGCAAAGGTCTTTGACAGTCTAGACAGAACAATGATGTGGAGTATCATTACTGCCTATGGGTCACCAGATAAAGTTATAAACATATTTCAAGGACTCTATGAAGGATACAAAGTGAAAGTAGGATTCAGGAAAACATAATACTTCAGGGTAACATCACGAGTTCGACAAGGGTGCATTCTGTCACCTTTCTTGTTTCTCATAGTGATAGATTATGTTATGAAGAACGCAGAGGCACGCGGAGGGGCCTTTGGTAAAATCCTTCTTTATGATATGTGTGTCATCAGCCAAAGTAAAAAACATCTGCAACAAAAGACAGATAAATCACAGAAATAGCAAAAAAGACAGAGTTAAGAATCGATGTCAATAAAGCAAAACTGCTGCAGATAAACCACAAAAGTCTAAGACCTATAGTGATAGATAATGTAGGTTTGGAAACAGTAACTGATCCACCTACCTGGGAAGCAATATCTCCTCGGATGGAAATGTAGTGGTTGAAATCGAGTAGAGAATTGCAAAGTCAAATGCTGCTTACAACAGACTTCAAAATGTCTGGAGATCAAACATCTACAGCACTAAAACTAAACTCAGGATGTATGAAACGTGCGTTAGGGTTGTTCTCCTCTATATGGCAGAAACATGGGAAACGGACAGAAAGATAGAGAGCATGCTTAGAGGCTTTGAGGGAAGACTTCTCAGAAGAATGTTGGAGTTTACATGGGAAGACAAAAACAGCAATTCTAGACTTCAACAAATAACAGGCTGAGAAGAATGTTGGAGTTTACATGGGAAGACAAAAACAGCAATTCTAGACTTCAACAAATAACAGGCTGAGAAGAATGTTGGAGTTTACATGGGAAGACAAAAACAGCAATTCTAGACTTCAACAAATAACAGGCTGAGGAGATGTAAATTTAGAAATCTCAAAACGAATATGGAGTTAGACTGGGCACGTCCTCAAAATAAAGAAAGAGAGACAGACAATGCAATGGACACCACAAGGACAGCGAGGAAGAGGCCGGTCCATAGGAACTGAGGCAGAACTTAAGGCTACGCGAAGGACAAAACTGGAGATAGGATGGCTTAGGATCGAATTCTTCTTCTTCTTCTTCGCGTTCACCAGCTGTACACTCTGGCGAAAAGTTCTGGTTGCTCGTCCACTATTGAACTGCAGTCCTGCTCCAAAACCTGAGTGTTGCGTGTGCATCAGCTTTACAGATCTCATTCTCTTGAATACAGACTGTTGGTTCCTTGCCTCTCCGGCAGATGCACTCCGACTTCAAAGGAAGCTCCCCAATTAGTCGACTCTTACGACATGCTTTTGTGGAGGCAGTGGGTCTATTCTTGTTTTCCCCACACTGGGAGCCCGGAACCCACACAGGGGTAGGATCGAATTGAGTGGTGACAGTTTGTCTCTGCCTTATGTGCCTTTGGGCGCAATGAGGATTGATTGAATTACACAACTACAACATATCACTTCGAGAGGCATCGCATAGACAGGCCATGTACACGAATAAGAAAGTCATTTTCTGAATCACATCAAACGGATTTATTAATCACAGCTATCCGAAAATATACATTAACAGGGCCTCAGTCACATGTGAATTGCCAACTTCCGGCGACTTGAATTACTGACTTCCGAGAGGTATCTTCCGCTCCGCGCGTAGCGGCTACCGCATCTCCTGCAGCTTTCGTCATTTTATTTGCTCGTGAGTCTTATCCTTCTAGTTTA